AAAAACAACGATATTCATCATCATTTAAACAATTAACAAGGAAATTTACCTATTCGAATATAATTTGGTGGTCATTTCGTTTATTAATTTATTTAATTTTATTATGTATAGCTATTTGGTCAATTCATCAATCACATAAACAATTTAAAATTAAAACAGCTGATCATCAAATGGTACAAAAAAATGAAGTTGAATTTCCAGGTATTACAATTTGTGCACCGACTATATTTACACCGAAATTATTATCAGGTAAGTTATATTGTATTTTTTTTAAAAAAAAGAAATGAAAATTATAATTTTTTTTTCATAAAGAATTTTATCCAGAATTAACTAAATTCATTAATGAAAATATGAACAATAAACAATCAGATTTGCTTCATAATACAATAAAGTATTATGAATCAAAAATGTTGAACAGATATTATATTTTAGAAATATTAGATGAATTTAGTGTAAAAATTGATAATGTAATACGTTCATGTCGTTATAAACCAATAAGATATCGTTATATAAATCAATCATATGGTTATGTTCCCGAATTAAATTGTTCATTAATATGGCCAGTATTGGACAGTATATATGCAGGTAAAAGATGTTGGACATATTTTAGTAGAATGTTAAATAATAGTGAAGATTGGAAACATCGTTTACCTAATGTTACTTCGAAAATTATGCTAAAAAATGATTCGCCTGATAAATTTATTCATCAGTATGATTATATTGTAAATAAAACTTTTTGTAAAAATTGTTATGATTCTATTGAATTTTTGATGATGATTTTTTGTTTTTTTTAATTATCACATACATACAGAAATTATGTAAAAAAGTTTTCACACGAATGATATTTGATTATAATCCTTCCATTACTATTGAATTGGAACTTGCTGATGAACAATGGAAAAATTGGGCAAATCCAAGAGAAATTGGCATAGCTGGTTAGTATTTTTTTAAATTTTGTTTTTTTTGAAATAAATCTAATCTATTTGATTACATTTAAATATCAATAGTACATCCAGCTGAAATATTACCCGAATTAAAACATTTTGTTTATTATAAATTAAAACGTAATCATATGATGGAAATTTCATTTAAAAAACGTATAATTAATGAAACAGGTTATAATAAGAATTGTCGTATGTTTACAAAAAATCAATATGGAAACAAAACATATCAATCATATGATGAATGTGTTAATCTTTGTATTAATTTGAATTTATTTTTTTCAAATCCAACTTGTTTTACTTATTTTCAAATGATTACAAAGATAACTATGCTTGAAAATCAAGAATATTTTCAACTTTGTCCTCATGATAAACAGGTATATTAAAAAAAAAAAATTAAAATTTGAAATAAATTGATTGATTAATTGAATTTTTGTATTTGTATTTAGGATTATCTGTTATATCTTCAATATAGAAATTATTGTATTGAAAATTGTGATAAAGATTGTATACAAAATAATTTTGATATTGATTTTCATCAAACAAA